CTGTAACCCCAACACTGTGGGAGGCCAAGGCGGGCAGATCATGAGGTCAGGAGTTTGAGACCAGCTTGACCAACATGGTGAAACCCTGTCTCTACTAAAAATACAAAAATTACCCAGGTGTTGTGGCTCACACCTGTAATCCCAGTTACTACGGAGGCTGAGGCAGAATTACTTGAACTCAGTAGGCGGAAGTTGCAGTGAGCTGAGATTGAGCCATTGCACTCCAGCCTGGGCAACAGGACGAGACTCTGTCAAAAAAAAAAAAAAAAAAAAAAGTAAATTCTTTTTTTAATTTTTAAGTTGAATGATTGTCTTATTTTTATTTTGTATTTATGCTGACAATAAGCAGGTCCAAAAAATTTATCCTGAACTCATTGTCATTTGATTTCCAGTAGTGTTTGTATTTACACACACCAGAGGTGTTGTTTTGAGTTTGTGAAAGAGTGTTTCTGGGGGAAAAAAAAAGGTAGAATAAGAGAAACTGATATAAAAAGTCTATGGGGGCTGGGCACAGTGCCTCACTCCTGTAATCCCAGCACTTTGTGGAGGCTGAGGTGGGTGGATCACCTGAGATCAGGAGTTTGAGACCATCCTGGCCAAAATGGTGAAACCCCGCCTCTACTAAAAATACAAAAATTGGTTAGGTGTGGTCGCATGCACTTGTAATTCCAGCTGCTCGGGAGGCTGAAGTAGAAGCATCCCTCAAACCCAGGAGGCAGAGGTTACTGTGAGCCAAGATCCTGCCACTGCACTTCAGCCTGGGTGACAAGAGTGAAACTCAGTCTAAGGTAAGAAAGAAAGAGAGAAAGAGAGAAAGGAAGGAGGGAGGAAGGGGAGAAAGAAAGAAAAAAGAAAGAGAAAGAGAAACAAGAGAAAGAAAAAAGAGAGAGAGAGAGAGAGAAAGGAAGGAGGGAGAAGGGGAGAAAGAAAGAAAAAGAAAGAGAAAGAGAACAAGAGAAAGAAAAAAAGAGAGAGAGAGAGAGAGAAAGAAAAGAAAGAAAGAAAGGAAGAAAGAAAGAAAGAAAGAAAGAAAGAAAGAAAGAGAAAGAAAGAAAGAAAGAAAAAGGAAGGAAGGAAGGAAGGAAGGAAGGAAGGAAGGAAGGAAAGAAGGAAGGAAGGAAGGAAGGAAGGAAGGAAGAAAGAAAGAAAGAAAGAAAGAAAGAAAGAAAGAAAGAAAGAAAGAAAGAAACAAACAAACAAACAAACAAACAAAGAAAGGCAGGCCTATGGGTAGGGAACAGTACACGGTTGGTGAAATGACTGGTTAGGGCTACAGAGACTGGTCCAGGCAAGATAGCTTGGACTTATAAATGTGTGCGTGCAGGCAGATGGGAGGGATGGATGACCCAGAATCCTAGGCTAGTGTAGAAAACAGGTCACTGGTGCAGATTCAAGATCTGGTCATAAAAAGAAGCCACGAGTGCTCTGGGAACTTACGTAGCCTATAGGCAGAAAACTCTAAAAGCAGAAGTTCTCTCAGCACAATTTCTGAGGGTGCAGCCTTGTCATGGGAGGAGTGTGGCTACATCACTGCCCAATGTGCGTGGGCGTGAGTGTGCAGAAATCACTTTCTAGCAGCAAGGTGGGGAGAGGAGTCTGCCCTCTGAACCGCTTTCCTTTGAGTTCTCAGTTCCCTCTGAGATGTCCTGGATGAGACATGGAATCACAGGACAATTCACAGCACAACAGCTTGTGTGCTGAAGAATAGAGTCTCCCTTCCCCAAAAGACTCACAGTCTCCTTCCAGCCAAGGCTTCAGTGATATCTTTCTTTTTAGACCAAATATATGGCATTTGCTGACACCAGCCAACTCTTCAACACCAACTGGGTGTTCAACAACTCAATTCTGACAGAATCCAGAGTCACCACAGACCTGACCACTTGAGGACTCAGTTCCTCAATACACTCTCCAATGCACATGCCAGTGACAGGCACCATGGGCCCATCTAGGCCTATAAGCAGCTATCTATAAATTATGGGCTTTTTAAAACTTCTTCCTGAAGTTTAATAATTTGATAAAACTAATCATAAATTTGATAAAACTATCAAATTTAATAATTGATAGAACTTTACCAGGTTATTATAAATAATATAATTCAGAAAATGCCAACTGGAAAAAAAATGTATAGGGCACAGAAAAATGGGAGAGAAAGACAGGGTGGGTAGTGAGTTCTGGTAAATAGCTACAATTAAGAAAACTCTCTAATGCTTTGTGTTCTGTAAGAACAACTTACTGCAAAGAAACATCCTTAGCATTATGACTGAGATGATATGCCCTCTTTTAGATATCACAGATTCACAGACTCCACATTACCATTGTTCTTCACACACAATTAACTAATTTTGTCTTCAGGGTTCACAAGAAAATACCTGTTAAGCAAACTTTGCTTAAGTTTCTGTCTTTCCCCCAGAGCCCGGACTCTGCTCCACCTCCAGTCTGAGCAAACATACAACCCCTCTTCACGTCCCTTCCGAGAACAGGCTGATTTCAGGGTGCAACATTCTCTATTGCATTGATTTTGCCACCCTCCATTCTGCACTCCTCTCCCACCTTCTTTCTAATCTTGCTTGCTCCTCCATATGAATGACAGCCCTTTTCAGCCTAACTTTTGAGACATATGCAGATATTATGTTTGGTGCTTCCCCCATTGCAACACTATTAATTTTATTTGAAACAGAGTCTTGCTCTGTCACCCAGGCTGGAGTGCAGTGGTGTGATCTCGGCTCGCTGCAACCTGTGCCTCCAGGGTTCAAGAGATTCTCCTGCCTTCACCTCCCGAGTAGCTGGGATTACAGGTGCCCACCACCACAACTAGCTAATTTTTGTATTCTTAGTAGAGACAGGGTTTCACCATGTTGACCAGACTGTTCCTGAACACCTGACCTCAAGTGATCCACCTGCCTTGGCCTCCCAAAGTGCTGGGATTACAGGCATGAGCCACTGTGCCTGGCCACAACATTACTTTAGAATAAAGTTACTTCATACTTACATATAAATTTATTTTATTTGACGGTATCTAAAAACAGCCCCAAAACAATAACAATTACATCCTGACAGAGGACATCACAACCCTCCTCCCATCTCCACTCTCACTGCCCCTGCCCGTGCATCCCCACAGCTGAGATGGTGACATATACTGTGACCCAACTTACAGGCATTTCACATAGGCCCAGCCAATGGGAGAGATTTTGACTCTCACAGATAGGCCTGGGGCCATGAATAAGGTCCTGGGTCTTCTACTTGTTTGAAGATCACAGAGGATTATGACACCCATGCATACTGAATAAACCCTGTGGGGGGTACAGAGAGTCTCATAACAGGGCCCAGAACACAGGTGAGATTGAGAGTCTTGTAGGAACACACAGCCACAAGTAGAAATTTTCACATGCCCATGTGTACACAGCTCATGTTTAAGGTTCTGAATCTCATACCCAGGGGCAGTCAAGAGTTGGAATTTTGACTCTCATATACAGATCCAGTCCACAGGTGAAGTGGGGACCCTCCAACCAGGATTCAGCACACCATTGAGGTTGTGACACCCCTACTGGGAGACAGCTTGGAGAAGGGATTGGGGCTCTCATGAGAGGATGCAATCCACTGTTGAGATTGTGACTCATGTACTTGGACCTAAGTCTCCGGAGTTGTTGACTCTTACACCTGGAGTGGGGAAATGTGGGTAATTGGGAGTCCCATTCCTGGGCCTTCCTGCGGGTGTCATTGTGACATGCACTTCTACCTTGAACCTTAGTAATTTGATAGTCCTTCTGTGCTCAAGACACAGATATCTTGTGACTCATACCTGGGCCAAGTCCCTAGGTGATGTGACTATTTTGTCTGGCCACTTCCTTCAAAGGAATTGTAATATATCTCTTTACTGAGCACCTAAGTGATGTAAATCTTCTCTCCTGCCTGGACCCTGCCCACAGGTAAGGTTATGACATATCGCCAAGCCTAGCACTTACTGACGTGACTGTCCTATCTTGTTTGTGCCCTGCCCTGAAGAAGCATTGTGACATTACTGGCCTAAGTGAAAAGGTAATTTGAGTCTTCTGCCTGGGACATGTGCACCGGGGGGTTGTGAAATATCTCTTGGCTTATCAACGTGATGATGTGTTCTCCTCTCTTGCCTGGAACCTTTTTACAGTTGGGATCAGAACATATTGCTGGACCCAGCACCGGGTGATGTTATTCTTCTCCCAGGGCCCAGCTCACAAGTGGCATTGTGGCATCTCTCTAGGCCCATCGCCTAGGTGATGTCACTCTGCTCTTCTAAGTGGACACTTTCCACAAAAGGAATCGCAACATATAGCTGCACCCAGCTCCCTGGTCATGGAACTGTACTGTGTTGGCCCTGTGCAAAGGGGGCATTGTGATATATTGCTTGGCCAAGCAGCTAGGTGATATTACTCTCCTGAATGGGCCCTGCTCTCAGAGAGGATTTTCACCCATCACTGGGCCAGTCATATAGGTGATGTGTCTCTCCTCTGTTGCCTGGACTCTTCCCAAAGTAAGAATTGTGACATATCACTTACCCAGCACCCAGGTGATATGACTCTCATGTCTGGTTCCTGCCCACAGGTGAAATTGTGACATATACATGGTCACAGCTCAAAGGTGAGATGATGACTCTCATACTTGGATCCAGCTAAGAGAACAGATTTTGACTCTGATATCTAGACTTGGGACAACAGTCCTGGGTCTCCTACTTAAATAAAGGACATAGTGTATTATGATACTGCGGCATATTGTATGAAGCCAGCATGTGATACAGTGTCATAACAGGACCCAGAACAAAGGTGAGATTGTGACTGTCATATGCACATCCAGCTGATAGAATTGTCACCCTCACACATAGACAGTGCTCACTGGTGAGGTCCTAAGTCTCACACACAAATGCAATCCAGGATTGGAATTGTGACTGTCATATGTAGATGCAGCCACAGGTGAGATAGTGACTGATTTTTGAACCCAGCTCACAGGAACAGCAATAGAACTCATACCTGGACCCAGTCCATAGCAGAAATTCACAATCCGGGACATTTTCTAGCTAAAGGTATAAGAGTCGACACCTCTTGTGGGTTGAGTTCAACTATGCAAGTCAATCACAACAGTGAACTAAATCAGTACATGAGAGCCCAAATCTCACCAACAGACAGTGTTTTGATAGGGGAAGCACAGCCCCCGCTTGTTCTAAATCCTGGGCTTGGTGTTATCATCTCTTGTGTTCATTGGATTGATGTATAAGATTCACAGTTCCAACTCCATTGGCTCTTGGTGTGTGATTCAGAACCTCAACAGTGGGTTCTGTTAATGTGGAACGGTGATAATCCTTACTTTTGTCTGAGTTTGCATACAACAGCCACAATTTTACCTGTGTGCTGGGCTCTATTTTGTCGCTTGTTGTAGCACTTGAGGGCTTCATACAATGTGCAAGTCATAATACTCTGTGACCATCCTACAAGTTGAAGACTCAAGACCTTAGTTTTTGCTGTAAGACTAACTACAAGAGTCAATATATCTCCAGGTATGAGTCATCATTCCACCTGTAAGCTGTGCCCATGTGTATTTCCCAATTCCAACTGTGGAGAGAGACCAGGCACAAGGGTTGTATCACCTGGGTGTTGACCAGAGATATGTCACAATTGCCATTTTGAGCAGGGTCAAAATCTTCCGTGAGAGCAGGAACAATTCAGGAGGGTCACATCACCTAGGTGCTGGGCGCAGTGATATGTCACAATGTCCCCTGTGGGCAGGGCCAAGGCAGGACAGTTACATCACTTGGAAGCTGGGGCCAGTGATACCTCACAATGCCTCTTGGGGGCAGGGTTCCGGTAGGAAAGAAGAGTCACATCACCTAGGTGATGGGTCTAGAGATATGTCACAATGCCTTCTGTAATAAGAACCCAGGAAAAAGAGTTATATCATTTGGGTTAAAGGTCCAGTGATATGTCACAATCCCAACTAAGGGCAAGACCCAGGCAGAAAAAGAGAGTCACTTCACTTTGATGATTGGCCCTAAGATATATTGTAATTTCTCCTGAGGACAGGGCTCGTGCAGAAGAGGAACATAAATTGTGTGCATGGCCCAGGTATGTGTTACAATAGAGTAAAATTAATCAGATGCTGGGAAAAGGTATATGTCACAATCACACCTGCAGAAAGGTTTAAGGATAAGATTTAAAACCCCACAAATGTGCTGGCTTCATTTATGACAGTCAACATATCTTGGGATATGTGTTTAAGTAATTGAGTCACAATCTCAACAGTGCACTGGCTCTGTGCATGAGAGCCCGAACCCCCCTTATAGACAGTGTCCCAGTAGGGGAGTCACAGCCTCACAGGGGCGCTGAATCTTTGTGTGAGAGTCACCGTCCTACCTGTGGACTGCGTTCACGTATGAAAGTCACAATTCCAACTTTTGACTGCCTCTGAGTGTGAGATTCAGGATGTTTTATGAAGGCTGTGTTCATGTGACAGGGTGACAATTCTTACGATTAGCCAGGTGTGCAAATGAGAGTCAGAATCTCACCTGTTTGCCGGTCCCTGTTATGACACTGTCTGTACCACCTGCGGGTTTTCTATGGCACATGTGAGACTCACAATCTGCTTTGAGACCTTTGTGCTTGACCCGGCGTTTGTTACAATCCCAAATGTAGGATCACGCCCTTTGCCCTAAGCCCAGGCTTGAGAGTCAACATCTCTCTAGTTGTTAGGTCCAGGTAAGGGAGCCATCTTTGTTCCTATAATCTGGTTACAGAAATTGGTCAACATCCCTCCTGCGGCTCAGTCCACATGTGACAGGCATGATCCAACTGTGGACTGTGTCTGTCAGTGAGATTCAGGAAATATTTTGCTCTCTCCATGAGTAAAGGTAACAATTTTAACAGTCAGCTGAGTGTGCATACAATACTTACAACCTCAGTGTTGTGCTGGGTCCTATTATAACACTCTCTGTCTCATCTGAGGGCTTTACACAATATGCATGTGTGTTGTAATCACCTGTGATTTTTTTTTTTTAAGTAGAAAAGCCAGAATTTTATTTTTTGGCCTAAACCCAGCTATGAGAGTCAACACCTCTCCTATTAGCAGGGTCCGAGTATAAGAGTCATCACTGGGCCTGTAAGCTGGGTCCAGCTATGACTCACCACCTGACCTTTGGCCACATCCACATTGCGTGGTCAATATTCTAACTGTGTGTTGTGTCCTCATATGAGAGTCAGGACCTCACCAGTAAGTTTTGTCAGTGTGTGAGGGAGACAATTTTAACTGTCAGCTGGGTGTGCCTATAAGAGTCACAATTTGGCCGGGCGCGGTGGCTCAAGCCTGTAATCCCAGCACTTTGGGAGGCCGAGACGGGTGGATCACGAGGTCAGGAGATCCAGACCATCCTGGCTAACATGGTGAAACCCCATCTCTACTAAAAATACAAAAAACTAGCCGGGCGAGGTGGCGGGCGCCTGTAGTCCCAGCTACTTGGGAGGCTGAGGCAGGAGAATGGCTTAAACCTGGGAGGCAGAGCTTGCAGTGAGCTGAGATCCGGCCACTGCACTCCAGCCTGGGCGACAGAGTGAGACTCCGTCTCAAAAAAAAAAAAAAAAAGAGTCACAATTTTACCTCTGTGCTGGACCCTGAGATGACACTCTTTAGATCACCCAAAGACTTTATAGAATATGCATGAGGGTGATATATTGTGTGATCTTTCTACATGTAGAAGGCCCAGATCATTACCTGTTTTTCTAAGCCTAGCTAAAAGAGTTAAAATCTCTTCTACTGGCTGGGTTCACATATGCGAGTCTTCATTATACCTGTGAGCTGGGCCTAATGTGTGACCATCGCACCTGTGGGCAAAGACTAGGAGGGAGAGTCGCATCAACTAGGTGCTGGGCCAGCGATATGTCAATAGTTTTACTATGGGCAGGGTCCTGGCAATAAAAGTCACATCTCCTGGGTGCTAGGAAAAGCAATATGTCACAATCCACCCTGTAAACATGTTCCAGGTAGAAGACAGTCACACCATCTAGGTGATGGGCCCAGTGATATGTAACCATTTCTCCTGTAAACAGATTCAAGGCAAAAAAGAGTCACATAACAAAGGTGATGGGCCTAAAGATATTTCACAGTAACCCCTGTGGACTGGCCCAGGCAGAAAGGAAGAGTCACATCGCCTAAGTGATTGGCTCAGAAATATGTCACAACACCCCAGGAGGGCAAAGCCCAGCAGGAAAGTAACGTTATCTAGTCACTCAACTTAAGTATATTTCACAATCTAAACTGTAGTTGGGGCCCAGGCAAAAGAGATAAATCAGTCAGATACTGAGTGAAGGTATATGTCACAATCACGTCTGTGAAAAGTTCCAGAGATAAAATTTACAATCTCTCACATGCCCAACTTCAGGATCAGAGTGAATACCTTCTGTGAGTTGTACCCAAAATGCATATTGTGGCACCTCCTCTGTTTTTTCCAAGGACTTCCAGGCTGTTAGAGCTTGACTATCTGCAGTTAATTAAGTTGACTTTGGGGCCAGACACGGTGGCTGAAGCCTGTAATCCCAGCACTTTGGAAGTCCGAGGCTGGCAGATCACGAGGTCAGGAGTTTGAGGACAGCCTGACCAATAATATGGTGAAACCTGGTCTCTACTAAAAATGCAAAAATTAGCCAGGTGTGGTGGTGGGCACCTGCAATCTCAGCTACTTGGGAGGCTGAGGCAGGAAAATTGCTTGATCCTGGTAGGCAGAGGTTGCAGTGAGCCAAGATTGCGCCACTGCACTCCAGCCTGAGTGACAGAGCAAGACTCCATCTCAAAAATAATAATAATAATAATAATAATAAAGCTCTTTTTTAAAAAATTTATTTAATTCTCTAATTACTTGACCTTAGCCATGCCAAACTGCCAATATTTCTGACTTTTGAACTTTACTAACATAACCTCCCAGGTGAAATCAAAAGGTTGTATTTTTGTTTGTTTGTTTGTTTGTTTGTTTTGTGGTGGATTCTCTCTATGTCGCCCAGGCTGGAGTGCTGTGGCCAAACAAGGCTCACTGCAACCTCAGCCTCCTGAAACCAGTAAGCTTTAACTACGGTTGTGAACCTAACCACAAGTGTACAAGGTATTTTCAAAAGATGGCAAGCAGTTTTTACAAAATCTAGAATCTTCAAAGGTAGCTCAGAGAAAGGAAAATTCAGGATGGTTCGTGAAGGGAAAGAGAATCAGTAAATATTCACGCAGATATCAAATCACAAAGGACTCATTTCCTAAGCCAGAAATTGAACCCTGAACTCAGGCTGCCACTGTGAGACAGCAAAGCCCAGCTACTGAGCTACAGCACTGAGCAGGCTCCATTGGAGTCTCCCAGAAGAAGCCTCCAGCAGTCAAAAGGTTGTTTACTGCTCAAGATCACTTTTATGGATAACTATAACATAAATTTCACATTTTCTATATGCTGGATGGTAGAAACAAAGAGAAAATACTGCCACACGGCTACAAGGTCAAGCTCCCAAGAACATAAAACAAGAGGGAAACTTCATCCATTTTGTTGTTGTTTGTTTCAGGGACTTCTTTTTTGTTTCTTTGTTTTTTAGCTTTTTGAGATGGAGTCTCACTCTGTCTCCCAGGCGGGGGAGTGCAGTGGCACGATCTCAGCTTACTGCAACCTCTGCTTCCCAAGTTCAAGCAATTCTTCCTGCCCCAGCCTCCTGAGTAGCTGGCACTACAGGCACCCGCCTCCACCCTGGCTAATTTTTGTATTTTTAGTAGAGACAAGGTTTTGCCATGTTGGCAGGCTGGTCTTGAACCCCTGACTTCAGGTGATCTACCTGCCTCGGCCTCTCAAGGTGCTAGTATTACAAGAGTGAGTCACCATGCTCGGCCTGTTTCAGGGACTTCTGACCAGAAGTTCCAACATGTGATCTTTGAGGAAGATGGTGGCCCAGAAACAGAAAGGATAGGAGAGAGAGAGGGGGGGAGAGAGAGAGAGAAAGACAGACAGTATTGCTTATGGTAGGACAGGAAAGTTGAGGAGCTCAGGAAAGCTAGAGAAA